GGAGTGAGCAAAAGGGAGAGAAGTAAGAGATATGATCAGAGAGCTAACGGGGGGGTGGGGGTGCTTTGGCTTTTACTCTGAGTGAGCTGGGGGCCACTGAAGGCTTTTGAGCAGAGGAAAGAGATGATGTGGCTTAGATTTTCACAGACTCCCTCTGGCCGATGTGTTGAGAATAGATAAAGGAGTGGAGCAGTGAGGAGGCCACTGTAAGAATCCTGCTGGCTTGCACCAAGGTAAGAAGTGCAGGGCTTACGGCCAATTCTGAAGGAAGAGCCAATGGGATTTGCTCATGGGTTGGGTGTGGGGTGTGACACAAAGAGAGAGATCAAAGATGACTCTGGGATTCCGATATGAACAACTAGAAGGACAGAGTTGCAGTTGGAGAGATCAGGAGAATGGCGGGAAAAGCTGGTTTGGAGAGGAAGATTGGGATTTTAGCCCAAGGCATATTAAATTTGCGGTGTCCACTACATATTGTGATGTCAGGTAGACAGTTTGGATATATGAGCTTAGAGTTCAGGTGAGAGTTTGAGGCTGGAGAGCCATCAACATAGGGATCGTGTTCAAATCCATGGGATGAGATGATAGCCTCAGGAGTGAGTAGAGACTGAGAGGAGTTGGGAAATGGGGAGGGATGAGCAGAGGAGCCTGAGCAGGAGCAGCCAGAAAAGTAGGAGGAGACCCAGGAGAAGAGGCTGGGGTATCTGGGAAGCAGGAGGGGGAGGAATGATCACCTGTGCCAGTGCTGCTGAGAAGACAAGGAAAAGGAGGGCCGAGTATTGGCCATTGGACTTGGCAACCTGGAGGTCTCTGGTGACCTTGACAAGGGCAAATTCTCTGGAGTAGTTGGGGCAAACGCCTGTTTGGAGGGGTTAAGGGATTGTGGGAGCAGTGGAATGACAGAGCAAAAGTACAGATACTTTTTCCAAGCAGTCACTTCCCCTTTATATTTCTTATGTTTGCATTTATACTATCCTCCCTTTTGTTTATTAGATTCGCCAATAGTTAATGTTTCATTTTTTTCCCCAAAGAACCAGAAGTTGAATGTATTTATTAGTTCTTTCATTTTGCTGTTTTTAACTCCATTTCCGTTTTAATTTGTCAGTTGCTTTCCTGGAGTTTATTTGTCTTTCTTTCCTAACGTTTCTTAATTGGATGGTTAATTTGTATTTTCTTGTTTATTAATATCAGTATTTAAGTTTATGAATTTTCCTGTGAGCATTGTCTTGGCTGTATCCCACGAATTCTAAAATGTAATATTTTTATTTGCTTTATTGTCTAGATCTTCTGTAATTTTGATTTTTAATTCCTTCTTTGACTCTAGGTTATTTTAAGCAGTTTTTTGTTGTTGTTTTTTTTTAAATGCCTGGTGGTAGAGTTTGCTTTGTTTTGTGTCTTAACTGTTAATATTTTTAAATTTAATTCAACATTAATTAAATTCAATATTGTGATCAGAGGATGTTGTCTGTACTATTTCTACTTTTTTGGAATTTAATTTATTTGTGGCTTAATAGTGTTTGTGCATTTTAAAAAGTGTTTGAACGGAAGGTACATTCTGTTTTACACATACACACATCTATTCTATTAATTAGATTATTTGGCTTCCCCATATCTTTAAAAAAAAGTGATGAAAAGCAAAGATGTCACCTTGAGGACTAAGGTGTGCCTGACCCAAGCCATGGTGTTTTCAATCACCTAATATGCATGCAACAGTGAATAGAGAAGACCAAAGAAGAAATTGACACCTTTGAATTGTGGTGTTGGGGAAGAATATTGAATATACCATGGACTGCCAAAAGAACAAACAAATCTGTCTTGGAAGAAGTACAACCAGAATGCTCCTTAGAAGCAAGGATGGTGAGACTATGTCTCACATACTTTGGACATGTTATCAGGAGGGACCAGTCCCTGGAGAAGGACATCATGCTTGGTAAAGAAGAAGGTCAGTGAAAAAGAGGAAGACCTTCAATAAGATGGATTGACACAGTGGCTTCAACAATGGGCTCGAGCATAACAACGATTGTGAGGATGACGCAGGACTGGGCAGTGTTTCATTCTGTTGTACATAGGGTCACTATGAGTCGGAACTGACTTAACAGCACCTAATAACAACAACATATTCTTATTTATGCTTTTGTCAACTTCATCTGTAATGGCTGGAGAGGTGAATTAAAGTATACTAATACTAGCATACTCTGTCTTTTTTCTTCCTAAATTTCCAGCCGTTCTTGCTCTATGATTGTTGATGCTATGTTATTTGGTGCATAAGCGTTCATTACTTTTAGGTCTTCATGATTACTCTCTTTTTTGTTCCTTACACGGTGCTCTTCCTTTTCTCATTTAATATTTCTTGCCTGACTTTAGCTTTGTCTGATATTCAGGTCAAGGTACCTGGTTTCTTTTGATTTGTACTTGTTTGTTATGTTTCTTCCCATCTCTTTGTATTAAACCTTTCTGAGTCACTCTACCTCCAGTGGGTTTTGTTTGTGTTCCAGTCTGAGAGTCTTTTTGTTTCTTTTCTTTTAGCAAGTCTGTATGGCTCATTTACATTTACTGATATGGCAGATACATTTGGACTTAGTTCTGTCATCATAGCTTATGATATGCCTTCTGCTTTTATAGCTTTTGTGGGGGTTGTCAACTTTCACCATATGCTCTGTGTTTTCTTTGTTTTATATTTTGTTTATACGTCTTTTGATAATTTGGAAAACTTGTGGTTTTGATCCAGTAGTCATCTTTGTAACTATAATATGATATAACACTCTTAGTCCTCCATTTCTTTAGACAATGTTTATTTTCTCCCTACTATGAATGTCAAAATTAGAATATTTCTATGTTCCCATTCCTTCTATCCCTTTCACCAAATGATTTTAGTTGATTATGTTACTTTTTTTTTCCATTTACCTTTCTACCTCCAATTTTACTTCAACCTCTAAATGATTCTTTAGACCTAGGTATAAATGAATAAGATGTCAGTTTACTTATATTACCTCCCTCCTTCTCACCTCTTTCCCTCCTACCAATTATTACTTATATCTGTTCTGTGTTTTCTGTTTCATTCTTTTCTGTAATAGTCACAATCCTTAGGTTTGTTTTGGACTTAGTCCTATAGTGAAATAGATTCTGTGTTCATTTCCAGTGCTCTTGCCAGAGTTACTCCACTTATCCTCTGGTTAACCTAAGTACATCTTCTAGTGATTCATTTTAAAAGGGATCTTGGCAACTATAATTCAAAAAATATGTTCAAAAAGTTTTTCTATTGACTTTATGCTTGAAAAATGGTTCATTTTGGTTTTAAATTCATCCAACAAATATGTATTAAACACTTACAGTGTGCCAGGTAATGTTCTAGGCCCTGGGGATACAGCAATGAACAAAACATACAAATGCCTTGGCCCTTTCTAGTTGGGGGGAGACAAACATTAACCAGATAAATAAGCAAAATATGTGATATGCTACATCGCGTTTCATGCTATTCAGAAAAATAAAGCAGGTGGTGGGAGGTTACCTGGACCTGACTTTGCTCTGAGAAGCAGAGGAGGCAGCCCATGGACTCGTCCACCTGGAGCCGGTGCACACATCCCCACTGATGCAAGTAGGGAAGGGCTGCCTCCCCACCTTGGGGTACCACTCATTTGGGAGAAGCGGGCTTTGTGGCTGTGTTGGAGACCCTCCATCAATGTCTACCCATTCTCCTGCTAACACACACTGCCTTGAGAAGGCTCTTCTTCTTTTGAGTATGGGGCTTCAGTAGCCTCCTAGCTTGGTTGAAGATGGTTTATGCATTAAGAACTGTAATCAGACGTAAGTAGCAGAAAAGCAGCCACAGTGGTATAACCAAATGGCATGTATTTTTCTTGCTGATAAGAAGTTCTGCCACCAGAACACAGGTTTCTCCATGCTTTCCAGTCAACCTGTGTTAGTGAGAGTCCTTCATTCTCATACTTGCAAAATGGCTGATTCTCCTCTGGACTTCATGTCTCCTTCCCAATAGACTTCTGCTTATGTGGCACTGCCATTGGCCAGGCTGGGTCACACGGCCTCCCCTGTCTGCAAGGGAGCCTGGGAAGGTGAGTATTTGTGACAGAGCACATTGTCACTATAAATGGATGTAGGAGAGGGATTCACAGTGTCTGCCACAGATGGTAAATTTCTGTCCCTCATTGCCCTCATTATTTAGAGGCAATTTCAAGAAGAGAAAGGCAAAGGCAACTCAGCTCTGCCAATCAAAGCTGCATGTGCTCCATGGGCCTGTTTTATACTCTGGACTCTACCCCACTGGTCTCTTGGCCTCCTGTACCAGGAGCCCCCTGATTTCATTCCCATGGCTTATGTGATATCGTCCTATCCAGTGGTGTCATTCTAAGATACATAATGGTCTTTATTATTATTATGAATGGTATCTGTAGCTGTTAATAATGGTTTCCATTTTGTTATAGCATTTAATTTATCATCCAAATCAAGATACTTTCATGGGGCAGGGGGACGCTATTAAGAATTATGCCAGAACAAACAGGTGTTAATTGAGACTTCCCTAAGCCAAGACATACAATCACTGTGATGATCACTGGTGTACATGAACAATGTCTACTTTTGTAAGTTGATCAAATGCCTTACAGATTGAAAATTTTATATCTTTATATCTGAACTCTCTTATTCATTCTAATAATTAACCTGTTGATTCTGTTGGATTTTCTATGTAAATTATCTGCAAATAATTATCATTTTGGCCTTCTAAACCTGACACTTTATGCTTTTTTCTTGTCTTATTGCATGTGCCAGAGATACTAGGACTGTATGGAACCACAGTGAGAACAGGCTTTCTTGCCTTTCTCCCAGCCTTAGAGTTACAAGGTTCACGATGTCCAGGAGTCAAAGATGAGCCCCTTGCTCAGAGAAAACCCAGCTTCTCCGAGCACTGAGGCCTGAGAGCAATGTCCCCAGTGAGTCCTTGTAGAAGTGACCCCACGTGATATTTTGTTTCCTTCTGCTTCCTCCAGAAAACCTTTTTGCTGTGCCTCAGGATGGGGGAGGTGAGATGAAGAGCACCCGGCACAGCTTCCAGGAAGAACAACTCCTAACCAAGATAAAGAGCAAGCCAAGCGGCGGTGGTGGTAGCAGTGGAGGAAATGCTGCCGGTGCCCCGAACCCCCTTCCACGGACTTCTAAGATTAGGAGCAAACTCGGGCGGGGCCGGGGATGCAGGGGAGGGGTTCTGGGCCACCTGTCCGCAAGCAATAGTCCCATTTTGGGCTGGTGGCTGCTGAGAGGTGATGCTGTGGTGGACTCAGGATACCCAACACAAAGCTCCTCTGGCTGATTAACGCCAGCAGGAGCGAGACCTGTAAGTCGTACCTGTGGCTCAAACACCGACACTCCCCTCACCTCCTCTCCTTCCAGTAGTGGCCCCTTGGGCCTATCCGTGTGAGAATATTGACTATGAGTGTGGGCGTGCATGTGTGTGTGTGTGTGTATGTGTGTGTGATTTGGGGTGTCCTTTTTGTTTGGTTGGTTGGTTGGTTTTTATCGGGGTTCTCCCTCCAAAGTTCTCTGAGGAGCGCAGGTCACCTTGTGGCTGAGAGTTTTTCCCACCACCCAGGGCTGCATGCACAGGGCACGGCCCCACTATATACAAGGTTCAGTGACGTCCTGGGCCAAGGAAGATGGTTTGTCTTCACTGTGTCTCACAGGCCACTAGGAATTTGAAAATACCAGTCAAAGATCATTCTTCTGGATTCCTTCCCGTAACAATAGTAATAACAGGGGACCTGACTCCGGCATAACCATGGGGCAGGCGCCAGGTTAGGCTTCTCCACGCACACTTTCATTCACACTCACCTCACAACACCTTGTGGGGTGCATGCGGATGACCCCTGGAGAAACAGGTCCGAGCAGGGAAGGGGTGCCCAGGGCCACCAACTGGGGAGACTGCAGGTGCATAGGGACCAAAGATCCAGGATCCCCCAGCACAATTCCCTTCAGTATCTCCCCAATGCCTTTTCAGTGGGCAGGACACCACCTGAAATGATCCATCATCAACTACCCAGGACCCTCATTCACTCAGCACACTCTCATTAAGCTCCTACTGTGTGCCAGGCACCACCCCTGTCCTGGGGAGTCCCCCATCTAATGGGAGGGACAGACACACGGAGCACTGCCGGACAAGGTGACAAGAATGATGGAAACCTGGGGGAGGGGGAAGGCATTCACTTTGCCTGGGCAACCCTTCTACTTCGGGTGGATGCCCGTCACCTCCACCCTTCCACATCAGGTGGGTGCCCGTCACCTCCACCCTTCCACGTCAGGTGGGTGCCCGTCACCTCCATCCACAACACTCATCTCACACGGCCCGCCTGCCCACCCCAGCACACACGGGGAAGGGCCTCATCCGGGAACTCACCACAGGAATCCCTGAAGGCCACGCTGCCAGTGTAGACACAGTCACCCTACCAGTGTTACATGATCCCCAAGCCCCCCAATTGTTAGCTTGGTGGCCCTGTCCAGTAAACGTGTCACCTCCTAACCGTGTATCCCATTTAACCAGAGCCAGTGTTCTCGCACACACACCATCCGTGAACAAGGCCGCTGCATGTGGTGCTGGCCTGCTGGCTGGGGGAGAGGACAGTGAGGAAATAGGGAATAAGGAATATGTCAACAGTGTGGAGTGCTCCACCAAGAATTCGGTCAAAACACAGTGTTAGTGGGGGCTTTGGGAAGCTCAGGTGGTCTGAGAAGGCCTTTCTGAAGAAGTGATACTTAAGCCCAGTCTGAATGATAAGAGCCAACCACTGGCTTTAAAGATAGAAGGAAGAGTATTCCAGGCAGAGGGAGCAGTCAGTGCAAAGGCCCTGAGGCAGCAACAGGCTTGGCGGTTTCAAGGAACCCAAAGAAAGCCAGGATGACTGGGACTCAGAGTGAGGGTGGAAGGAGATGAGGGTGAGAGAGCCCAGGTTCTGGGGTTCACTGCGAGACACGTAACACCACACAAACACAGTCCCCTGCCCTTTGATAAAGCGGAAAGAACTCTCTAGGGCCTAAAGCATTTTCCTCACACCCTGACTCTTCATCCTCACAGTAGCCCTTACGGAAGGGACTCTTCCCATTCCATGAACTAGGAAACTGAGACTCAGATGGGTCAGATGGCTTGTACGAGGTCACACGGGCAGGCTGTGGAAGGCCCAGAGCTGTGTTTCACTTGGGCCCAGTCCCACCTCCTCCATCCAGTGCTGCCAGTGCCCGGGGGTACAGCTTGGCAGAGGCAAAGTGGGAGAACCGTTGCTCGGGTTCTTGCTTAGAGGTAGGTATGGCTTCCTTTTCCCTGGATTCTGAGTCATCCAGGACATACCCCTGGGCCTTGTCCTTGCAGAGCAGCAGTTGCCGTGAAGGCATGCAGCTGGATCAGCCCACACCTGCATTCTACATGCAGAGACTCAGGAGTTGGAAGTCGCCTAATCCTCGGGCGAGGGAGTCACAAGACTCCAATTCCAACATTGTCTCTGCCGCTAAGAGCAGTGTGACTTGGGCAAGCTTCTGCCCTCTCTGCCCTCAGTTTCCCCATCTGTAGGGGGAAGGAGTCAGGCCGGCCCATCCTTAAAAACCTCCCATCTGTGCTTTCCTGTGGTTCTGGGCTACTCTCCGTAGCTGCTCACACGAAGGCACTCCCTCTGCCAAGAAGGGCTGGTGGCCTTGCCTCCCTCCCCTGAGTGCTGAGTCAGTGGTTGCTGCCACAGAGACCAGCAGGGCAGGACACCCCAGACATGCATCCTTGAGGTCTGCAGCCTGGCAGGAGCTCCTCCTGGCTCCACCAAAGGTCTTTTCAGGAGTAACTGCTGCCTGGAGCCCTGGTGGCACAGTGGTTAAGAGCTACAGCTGCTAACCAAAAGGTCAGCAGTTCGAATCCACCAGCTGCTCCTTGGAAACCCTATGGGGCAATTCTACTCTGTCCTATAGGGTCACTATGAGTCGGAATCGACTTGACGGCAACAGGTTTGGTTTGGGGTTTTGGAGCCTCTCTCCTCAATGGCCCCCAGGGCCGGCCAGGCTCCCTCTCGGGCAGCCAAGCTGGGGAGGATCACAGAGACTGACCCAGCCCTAGCGGGCGGTCTGTGGAGCAGACAGATTCAGAGTCCAGAGGCGCAAGCATGTGTCTGCAGCACTGCTGCTCCCCGCTGGCTGACCTCAGGCTGATGGCTTGCTCTCTCTGAGCCTAGTTCTCTCACCTGGGCAGGGGGCACAACACCTGTTATCTCGCAGAGTTGTTAGAGGGGAGCAACAGTGTGCACCTGGGTGGCACGCCCTGTGTGGAAATGCACTTGGCCAAGGGGCTCCTCAAAGTCCTGTGGGGCCCGGACGAAAACCCACCCCCATCCCTCTGTGGCCAATAAGTACAGTGTCCCTGCCAGTCAGACACGAAGTAGTGACACGTTCAAATAGAGATGTTTTTTAGTGATTTTTCAAGCTGCCTACTTTTACTTTTTACTGTGAGCTTCTGGCTATTGACATATAATTTGTGGAAAAAAGAGAGAGGAGAATGAGGACAGCGTGACCCCCGGGGAATCTGGGCCCCATGCCAGTCCGTGTAACTGACTCCCTGTAGCTGTACGGGCGTTTTCCCGCGGAGAACCGTGCTGTCCGTGAGCAGTTTGATGCTTTCCTTCTTGTCTGTGTGCGGGCTGGCTGTTGGGTGTGTCCGAGCCTCTGTTCAGAACCAGTACCTGGAGTTGGCCCTGGTTGTGCTAGTCCCCTTCACTAACCTCTGCAGTCACCCACCCCACAGGAGCAACCGCCTCATCCTGACATCCCGGAAGCTTCTGACCGCCAGGCTAACATGTGACGCCAGCCATTACCAACTTGAAACAGGCCTTAACTGACAACACGCACACACGCGTGTGAGTTCCGCGGGTAGCTCTCCTCCCTCTGGCTGTCTGATGCTTCCGCATGACAGCGGTAGACAGCCGGTGCTGCTGGCGTGAGTGGCATTTCCCTCAGCACCAGAGAAACCTTTCGGGCAAACTCAGTTCCAGGGCCAGAGGGGAGGACTTGGGGGTGTACACGTGGGGGAAACGTGGGGCTCACTGTAGCCCAGCTCTCCTGAAAGGCAAAAGCTCTCTTTGGGTCATTTCTAACAGAAGGAGCTGTGGGTGTGGCTGTGCCCGGCCCCGTGTCCCCTCAGGGCTGAGTTTGCTGGCATGGCCTCCCGACCCCCAGCCCCCTCCCCCTGCCCTTTCCCCCGGCTCACTTCCCTCCCCGTTCACACTCCTACTGGAGGTTGTCAGGTAAAAGAAGTGTCTCAGAGCCACAGACCTTTTTTAAAAATTGGTTTATTTGAATTATCCACCATGACCAACTGGTACCCAGGGATAGGAAGGGCCAGGCCCAAGGCGGCCTTCACAGATGAAAGTGATGATGTGGGTTGACATGGCGGCCTTAGGTGGGCGGCTTGGGGTACCTCTTGTAGATGTTGAGGGACCATCACACCATCACAGGGTGGTGTCTGTGGGCCCCACATGAGACCATCACACCATCACTGGGAGGTGTCCCTGGGGCCCTCATGGGACCATGACACCATCACGGGGTGGTGTCTGTGGGGCCCCCTAACGGTTGCTGTGGAATCTGGGATTGGAAGAGTAGAGGCAGACTGCTCACCCGGCGAGCAGTGGGCGGAGTCCACCTGGTCCAAGGGGCAGCCCCACACCCCGTGAGTAGGCAGCCTCCTCATCACCACTTCTGCCAGCCAGGTACACACCACTGAACTGGGGTCATGCTCTCTGCCCTTCCAGAAAACAAACATGGCACACCTGTGACACCACAGCGGGCTCCCAGCCCCTCTGAGCACAGACGCGTCACGGGATGGTAGTTAAGTGAATGTTTACAACTTTGGGGTTCTTGGCCTGAAAAATTCAAATGCTGAAAGGGGGTGGGCAGGTGAGATAGAAGAGGTCAATCCTGAAAGATTCATGCTTACATTCATTCATTCATTCATTCATCTGCTCAACAAATATTACTGAGCACCTGGCTGGGCCCGGCTGCGTGAGGGTGACTGCTTTCCATTGTCCCATGCCCAGTGCCCATCTGGGGGCT